CTCGGGGTTTAGTCCATGTTGTACCGAATAGAACCAAAGAATATGGACCCTTGCAGTCACGAAAGCTTCAAATATAGAATTGACTTTGTAGCTCTTTTAGGGGCACTTTAACCGATAGGTGACCAACTGGTGGCGTGTTTATGGCCGACAAACCATGGCTGCAGTGAAGGGTCCTATCTTACCTTGAAGTTGTGGGTTCATTGAATCCATTGACTGTGAGCTGACAGAGTAAGGAGCGAACATGACATGGCAACGACCCAAGCACCGCAAAAGAAATCCGTGTAGCAATATACATTTGTTGTACTTTTCTATGGTTCCACATCAATGCCCCCCACCTCCACCAACCTACACTATTGATTGGTTGGTAACTCGAAGGGCTGTTTAACCTTTTTTCTCACGGGTGTAAAGCTGAATTAGCCTCTATTCTTGGTTCTTTCGGTAAAGTCATGTAGAAGGGAAACAATAAAATAATAAAAAATATATAAAACAATAAAATTACTGCAGTCACGAAAGCTTTAAATCTGAATTAGCCTCTTCATGCAAAAGCGCAGATCATAAACGAATAAATGTACTGTAATGTTCAAGTGCTGTCTTCAAGCCGGTATAGTGCTGAGGGTTATTAGATGAATTTTAACAACTCACAAAGGGTTGTTTCATTTATTTGAACAAATGTGCAAACTGACCCAATTAATATGAATGCTTGCATGAATCATCTTTATTAATTAATTCAGGACTTTGTTTTAAGATTACAGGTGTAATCTTTGAACATTCTTCAGACATGTTTCGTCTCAATTAATTCAGATTTCTTGGTCGAGTTTAGAAAATGTCATCTAAAAAAAAGAAAAATAGATATTAATAATGTTAATCTTATTCTTAGTTTTTTCGGTAAAGTCACGTTGAAGAGAAACAACAAAATAACAAAATATATATAAAACAATAAAAAATTCTCACGACGTTTCGACCATAACTCAAACGGTCATCATCAGGTGTGTCGGTTTGCATAAATTTATTTTTAAAAAGGCACATTTATTTATTTATAAAAAACGTTGGCGTCACGCGCAGCGATTGGCAGTTTGCCCAGGACTAGTCCATCTATTTTTTTGAAAAGAGGAGGGGGGAGACGAAATTTTTTATAATGTATGCTGTCTGAAAGCCACTGTAAGCGTGAACAATCAATCAAGAACTGAAATGATTTATCAAATCTTTCCAATGATTGCTAAGATAGAATCCATCTTCTCGGTTGAAATTGTCTCTGTGCTTGTATATGTGGATAGCCTCATGAACGAATCTCTCATGGAAGCCAGATGGCTTACAAAGAACCTCCGTCTTGGAAAGTCAATGGCATGTGAGCCTACTGAATTAGAACAATGATCTGCTACGGCCGAGGTGTTGGTCCTACCGTGTTTAAGGTCTGCTTTATGTTCACGAATGCGGTCCGAGACATGGCGTTTGGTTTCTCCAATGTAACTACTACCACAGAGGCAACTTAGTTTGTAGACACCAGGGTATTGTATGTCCGGAATCACATCTTTTACAGACGGAACCAGATCACGGATTTTATGTAATGTGTTGAAACGGACCTGGATTCTTGTGTTTATTCAAGATTTTGGAGATCTTTTTTGTGATCCCAGCAATGTAGGGTAAAGTGATGGTTTTGAAAGGCTCCTCAAGAGGGTTCTTCTTCATGGTTTGAGTGATAGCTTTGCGGATTGTATAGTCGGAGTAACCATTAGCCCTAAGAGCTTGGTGTACGTGCTTGAGTTCACTGCTTATGTGTTCCTGGTCGGATATGCATTGGGCTCTATGATACAGAGTCTTGATGAGAGAATTCTTCTGTGATGGATGGTGGTGGGAATCCGGTTTCAGATAAGCATCCATATGGGTAGCTTCCCTGTAGACAGAGTGGCTCAATGAACCATCAGGTCTCTTTTTAATTAGGACATCCAAAAAAGGTATCTTGCCATCTATTTCGACTTCCATGGTAAATCTGATGGCTGGGTGTATGGAATTGATGTGGTCGAAGAATTGGTCTAGAGCAGGCCGGCCATGTGGCCAGATGACAAAAGTGTCATCCACGTACCTCTTCCATAAGGTTGGGCGCAGAGTGGCAGTCTGGATGGCGTCAGTCTCAAATTTCTCCATGAAAATGTTAGCTATAACTGGAGAAAGGGGGGAGTCCATTGGGGTGCCCTCAGTTTGTTTGTAGAAAGTTCCATTCCAAGTAAAGTATGTATTGGTTAAACAGTGTCTCACGAAAGCTTTAAATCAAAATTTAATCGCCTCTACGGGGAGGGTTTTCACGTAACTTTAAGATCCTTCAACAAACTCCGGGATAAGAAAGCTCAGCTGATCGAGTCTCTCACCTTCCTGAAGAGATGCCGCGACTCTGGGGTAATACCAATCGCATTTACACTGACCTCTGCTGCTGTAACTTCTTCTAATGCGAAACGAATTATTTTCAAAACTAGCTTAGCTCTTATCTCAGAAAAAATCAGACTTATACGCACAGAACTTGATCAGTTAGACAAGACACTCTACAAATCACACTTATCATTGACGGCAATAATGTCCACATCGGATTGGGAACATGTAGACAATATGACTGCCTCTTCAGCTGCTACTATGTCGACCAAATGTAAGGAAAACCTGATTTCCAATTTAACCTCCTCTTCAACAAAAGACCGGACCCACACACCAAAAAGTTAGACGTTAATAAAGTCGTAATTAATCGCAGTAACAGTTCTATTTCCGATGGTCTGAAATCCGTTTTAGCTAAAGGTCTAAACTTTGCAGTCACACCTAAACACATACCAGTTAATGATATAATTGCCCAAGTAGACGTTGCTCTCAGGGGCCTGGGTCACATCACTGCAGACGTAGCAAGATCTGAAATCGCTGCAACCCTCAAAAACGCTAAGATGCCAGCTAGCAACCTCAGCAAAGATGAGCGTTTTGAATTATATAAATTAAAAAAGAGGAATGATATTGTAGTTCTCTCAGCTGACAAAGGCAATGCTACTGTCATCATGGATAAGATAGAATACAACAACAAAATTAAAGAATTACTCGACGATGGTAGTTATACAAAAATAAAAAGAGATCCCACCAACAGCCTCGTCACACAAACCAACAAAATAATTTCTGATTCAACCGCATTAATTGATCAATCTAAACAGTTTTCGTTGAAACCTTCTGCTGCCAGGCCACCAAGATTATACGGCTTACCAAAAATACATAAAGTTGATACACCTCTTCGTCCCATAGTCTCTACTATCAGCTCCCCCACCTACAAACTAGCTCGTTTTTTGTCTGAAATCCTGCGTCCTTTCACTGGAAAGACCACCTCTGCGGTACAAAATTCTACTCACCTGGTATCAACAATCAAGGGTATTTCCCTGTCCCCAGACGACCTGCTTGTCAGTTTTGATGTAGTTTCCTTATTCACCAAGGTTCCTGTACCTGACACCATTGCAATCATTGAAGACTTGGTTCATCAAGGACTAAACACTGAGGTACCCCCCTGGTGAGACACTGTTTAACCAATACATACTTCACTTGGAATGGAACTTTCTACAAACAAACTGAGGGCACCCCAATGGGCTCCCCCCTTTCTCCAGTTATAGCTAACATTTTCATGGAGAAATTTGAGACTGACGCCATCCAGACTGCCACTCTGCGCCCAACCTTATGGAAGAGGTACGTGGATGACACTTTTGTCATCTGGCCACATGGCCGGCCTGCTCTAGACCAATTCTTCGACCACATCAATTCCATACACCCAGCCATCAGATTTACCATGGAAGTCGAAATAGATGGCAAGATACCTTTTTTGGATGTCCTAATTAAAAAGAGACCTGATGGTTCATTGAGCCACTCTGTCTACAGGAAAGCTACCCATACGGATGCTTATCTGAAACCGGATTCCCACCACCATCCATCACAGAAGAATTCTCTCATCAAGACTCTGTATCATAGAGCCCAATGCATATCCGACCAGGAACACATAAGCAGTGAACTCAAGCACGTACACCAAGCTCTTAGGGCTAATGGTTACTCCGACTATACAATCCGCAAAGCTATCACTCAAACCATGAAGAAGAACCCTCTTGAGGAGCCTTTCAAAACCATCACTTTACCCTACATTGCTGGGATCACAAAAAAGATCTCCAAAATCTTGAATAAACACAAGATCCAGGTCCGTTTCAACACATTACATAAAATCCGTGATCTGGTTCCATCTGTAAAAGATGTGATTCCGGACATACAATACCCTGGTGTCTACAAACTAAGTTGCCTCTGTGGTAGTAGTTACATTGGAGAAACCAAACGCCATGTCTCGGACCGCATTCGTGAACATAAAGCAGACCTTAAACACGGTAGGACCAACACCTCGGCCGTAGCAGATCATTGTTCTAATTCAGTAGGCTCACATGCCATTGACTTTTCCAAGACGGAGGTTCTTTGTAAGCCATCTGGCTTCCATGAGAGATTCGTTCATGAGGCTATCCACATATACAAGCACAGAGACAATTTCAACCGAGAAGATGGATTCTATCTTAGCAATCATTGGAAAGATTTGATAAATCATTTCAGTTCTTGATTGATTGTTCACGCTTACAGTGGCTTTCAGACAGCATACATTATAAAAAATTTCGTCTCCCCCCTCCTCTTTTCAAAAAAAATAGATGGACTAGTCCTGGGCAAACTGCCAATCGCTGCGCATGACGCCAACGTTTTTATAAATAAATAAATGTGCCGTTTTTAAAATAAATTTATGCAAACCGACACACCTGATGATGACCGTTTGAGTTATGGTCGAAACGTCGTGAGAATTTGTTATTGTTTTATATATATTTTGTTATTTTGTTGTTTCTCTTCAACGTGACTTTACCGAAAAAACTAAGAATATGAATTACTGCAGTCACGAAAGCTTTAAATCAAAATGTTAATCTTGTATATAAAATTTAAACTTTTCGAATAATTAAAAAATAATGCCAGTGTTGAAATAAGTTAAATAACCCTATGTGTCCTGACTTTTGGACCACTCTGCATTTATTATGAATAGACATTTACAACTCCAAAGGTCAACGAGATGTGGGTGAAACTCCAAGGGCGCTAAGCAGTTTAACGCCGGTTTTGAGTGTCATTTGCAACTGGGTCATTTGCATTTCCCCCATGAATTGGAACGTTGAGAACGGAAAGTGCCTACTCCACGTTTTAAATTTCTTTGTCTTCAAAGACGAAAGGCCCATTATTGCATGGGGGTTGGCTATAAATGTAAATACTCTTACAATGCTCTTTGTATAAACGCTCATTGTGGGTTCTCTTAAGGTTAGATGCAAGTGAGTCGGACCTTTTATCAAATCCTTTTTGGGACCTCTTTATATAAAGTGACTTTTATACAATAGAATGCAATTTTAATTCCTATAGCATCCTAAACGCATCCGCATCTCATGACGTTGTTCAGAAACCGTGGGTTATTTTTTTATTTTGCAGAGAGAGATAGTCGGTCAAATAGTGAGTTGGGGAAAAAGGAAGATCTTAAGCGTTCACTTAAACAGGGGCAGAAAGTCAACAACACGGGTATCTCGGGAAAAGATGTTCCATATCACACGGGCAGCAGAGGAAATTTAGAAACCTCCTATCACTGAGCGAAGGTTGACTGGGGCTTCAACAGAAAGCCTTGGTTGCGGATAGTCCACGCGGCTTCGTAGCATAGGATGAGAGGCAGGGTCGAATTTATTATGGACCTTGAAGATGGTGAATGTGATCTAGAAAATTATCTTTGATTGAATTGGGAACCATTGGACGTATCTAGGTGAGTGATGGTGTTGTTTATGGGTGCGGTTGACAAGTCTGACAGTGGCATTTAGGATCATCTTGAGTTTGAAGATGAGCCATTTTGGGAGAGGTAAGAGTTGCGATAGATGTGGTGATGGTGGCACGGGTCTCAGCGACAGCTGGGTTGAGGAGGTAACGTGTGGGAGATGTTGTGTGGATGAAGCTGAGATTCGTTGGATCAGTGGCAATTTAAGGGTGCTTGCACATGGTGTCATGCAGTGTTAATAATGTGCACACTGGGGTGCCACTTAAAATTCAAGTTTGTTATTTTCAAGATCAAACATCCTGGTTTTGTTAATTTGCCCATTAAGATGAAACCATTGCATGTTGCCTCAATATTTGCTGGTTGCTTAACAGAGTTGAAACATGCATGACAGTCGATGCACATGGGAGTCATCGTATAGAGGCACAGATGCAGAGAGCAACAGGAAGATATCCTAAGCAAGCTGTAATTATTAACAGAATGGAATGAAATTCTCAGCAGTTGACGTTTACACCAAATGTAACAAATTGAGAAAAGGGTGTGATCTAAGAAGATGTCAACTTCATTTTCCAATTGCATATGGAGTGGCAACCGTAACGTGCACGTTGAAGAATGCAGTTCTTGTTGAGGAGTTTATTACCTCAGTTTTGAAAACATTTATCTGGAAAAGCTAGAACCAATGCAAGCTAAGATGGTGTTCAAGGCAGGATGTGAGCGTGGACAATGAGGTTAGGTCCATGGTGTCATTGTCATGGAAATGTAACTAAAGTGATGGTCGCAACAGAGGACTCATTAGTCCCACAAGTCCTGTCACCAGAACCGTCCCAAGGGTACGGCGATTCGGAGCGACCGCCCGGGACCCCGCGCTTTGAAAGGCCCACACACTGTGATTTGCCTCGGGTCCCACACCCCCATATGGACTGCCCTGGCTGCCACTCCCCTTTTCTTTAACCACCCCCCCCCCCTCCGCTTTGTAACTCAGCATTCGTAGATCCACAATCCGCGACACAGCCGAGCCTTGGAATTACACGATGCATTTTTGACAATGTTTCATTGTACTTTGTTCAGGTCATAAGTACATATAATATGGACTGAACTAGGTATTAATTTAACAGGCATGTACTTAAGTCAGACCCAGAAATTAACTCAAGAGATGTGTACATGACCAAGACAAACCACAATCTGGGCCAGATGTCTGTGTTTACTCGAGATAGACTGCAGGAAGATCTGCGTGTCTACAAAACGTGTTCATTCCGATGCGACATGTCTCACACTTTCTAAAAGTGTATACTATAAACTTCAAGCTGGGCCAGGTGTCTTCTTACGGCTGTAATAAAAAATACGACCAGTGCCTAATTTGAGCCGGATTTGCCCACACCCGGAAATATTCCACGACAAAAGTAGCCGTGCACAAGCTAAAGAAGGTGATTCGTACAGGTGTACACACAAACACCGCTTTGAGCCACGTGTGATTTTCCCCACATGTGTACGCACACACATGACCATCACATAACACCACACATTGCTGAACCAGGTTTGCTGCTATCCAGCCGCATGCCCTGGGGGAGCCGCATGCTCTCTATCAGCTGAAATACCGCGTGAGCCCCCGGGGAGGCTGGGACTCGGGAACCAGCGGGAGCTCCCGGGGCAGCTGAGGATCAGGACTCGGCAGGATCCGCACGCTGTCGTCGTACGAGGGTGGTACCATCGTCCGCTCCTCGTCGGCGAGCGGGGCGCTCGGACTGAGGCGGCCACTACCACCCCCGGCTCCCTCGGGGTCAGGTAGCGACGTCGCAGAGGGGACGGGGAACCGGTACCACCGAATGGGAAGTAGTACCAGGTGCTGCGGGCCAAAGCACCGGCGGCGGCAGCAGCAGCATCTGATGGCGTAGGAGGCTGTGACCACGGCAAGGAAGGTGGCAGCCAAGATTAATCTGCGTTTGGGCGACAAGAGGTGGCAGTTCAGCACGTGGATTTAATCCGTCTGTGTTGAGCTTTGAGTTATCCCCTTGTGCATGCAGTGGGGTTTCTCAGCGGTTCAGCAATTTGTCATTCACGGATGGGATTTAGCCAAGCGACCCAACATTGCACACACACCTTCCTGTACAAGTAGTTCACTTAATTATGCTGTTCACACTATCTACGGAAACATCTGTGCGTTCGCCAAACAAAAGCCCGATACCATTCACAGCCGCAGCATATTTCCCACAAGTTTGAATATAATTGGGGAAGCAAAAAAACACAATTGGTATAAAAAAACAACTTCAATTAGAATTGTAAATACCAATGACGTTTGTGCAGTATAAAATATTTATGCAGTAATTGACGGCATGGCGATTACATAGACACAAACATTCTCAGAGTAAATGTTCTGATTTAATTCCTGTCTTTGTAACTTTAACTGACCATGGTGTGCAAATAATATTTATTCGTACCGGACATACGGACAAGCGCAAAATGAATGGAGAATACTATTGCAATAGTTATGGGAAACATATCGCGATAATCGTCGTGAAATTTTCTATCGTAACATGTAACTATGCCGTTGTGTGCAGTTGTGAACGTGTGCAGGCTCTTAGAGGTATTCAGCAGCTTTGTGTGTGCACATCTCTAAATCGCTTCAAGTCCTCCACTTCCCCCCACTCTTCCATTCTCACATTTGCAAAAACCACGTCAACGGCACCCCCTCGTCGTACTCATTACTCTTGCAGCAAAATGAGGGCGATGAGGTGCGGGAGGAGGAGGCGTAGTTGGTGGTGGTGATGTTGTGCGAGGTGCTGTTGGAGGTGTTGTTGAAGCTAAATGGGCCTCCGGGGACACCCTGGCAGCACTGCTCCCCCCACGGGCACCAGACGGCCCTGCACCGCACGGCCGTCTTCGTAGAGGCGGCCCCTTGGAGTCAGGAGAAGACACGAGGAGACGAATGCCCCGCCAACATCACCACCCACGGGCGCATCGCGCCGCCTGTACAGCTGTGAGGGTGCGGGAGCGTGTACAGGTGAGTATACAGGACAGCGCTGTCCTCCAGACAGTCTCGTCCCTTCACCTGATGAAGTCCGCTTGTGTTGTGGCCGAAACGTCGTGAGAATATTATTGTGTTATTTTATTTTATCAATTTATTATTTTATTCTCATTCTACGTGACTTTACCGAAAGAACCAAAGAAGATGAATCCTTGCAGTCACGAAAGCTTTAAATCGAAATGTATCATTAACAAGAATTAGAATATAACGTTGTTTAAAACGTAACATCTTATCGATAACCACATTTGCCATATAGCTTATTAATCTGCACCAGGGTGAATGAACGAGTGATCATTTGCACCAATGCTCGTGTTGTAGGCTTTATGGCCTGGATTAAAATAAAATATCTCATCTCCATGAATTCAGTGTTTTTTTATTGCGCTCTGCAATAATTTTGGCACCTGCAGCTATAGTTACATAAAAGTAATTATTTATGGCACGTTATCAAACAGCATTGTTCAATGGGCCATAAAATGAAACAGTATATAAGTACTGTATATTAATGTGTGTACAGGTGACTCCCGACTTAGGACGGCTCGACTTGCGACCCCCCGCTTTTACGACCTTATAGTAATTAAGATCCCCACAGTAACGACCAAAACTCGTAAATACGACTGCTACCGACGCCGAGTCGATTAGCGCTGCGTCTGCGCATGTCATGCGCACACTCGTCGCCAGATGGCGCTTCTGTGCTGTTCCGCTGTACAGTATAGCCCGACAGTATATCTCGACAGTCTGCAGCTTGCGCCGAGAGCGAATGCATCTCTTTAGCAACGCTCTTCACTTTTTTGTAAATTTTCTTCAAATTTAGAAAAATGTTCGCTTTCGCTGCGTCTGAGAATAGGAAATGTGATGCACATGTGTGGTGGTGATGTTGGAACGCGTGCACACCGAACCCGGGTGAATCACAGTATTTACCGGTTGCGGGGTGGTTGTGTTATCCCTGACCAGGGCCCCTCCTGAGGGGAGGGTGCTGTGGGGTGTGTGTGATCCCACAGAAACCCGCCCCTCGGTGGGGAATTGTATGAAAGGCAGGACCCTGAGAGCAGAGAGGCAGTTCGATCAAGCCAAAGAACCACCTTAAGACTGAAGTCCAGCTAGATAGACCCTGGGACTCATCTGACCCGCTGCCCTTCTAAGGGCCGGGCAGAGCAAGCCAGTGGTACGACTCCAGAGCCGCGAAGGCCGATGTCCTTTTCAGGGCCGGATTCATGTGGCTGGTGGTCGAGACCTGTGCCGAAGCTGGGCCAGGTCATACTCTTTGGTTCTATTGGGTAAAGTCACGTAGGTAAAAAATTAAATAACAAAAAATAACAAAAATCACGATGTTTCGACCACAACACAAGTGGCCTTCATCAGGTGAAGGGACCAACCTGTCCGGAGGACAGCGTTGGAGTGAAAAAGTCAAGCGCAGGTCGCCTCCTTTAAGCTGTGAGTGGGTAAACAGAAAAGACGCCTTGACAAAGGAATTAGCATAAATGTAAAGCTGTGCAAGCTCGCAAATAGAATCAAAGATAAAAGACGCCTTGACAAAGGAATTGGCATAAAATGTTAAGCTGTGCAAGCTCGCAAATAGAATCAAAGATACATTAGCACCACCGTGAGAGTTGTAATGCTGTGCAAGCTCGCAAATAGAATCAAAGATAAAAGACGCCTTGACAAAGGAATTAGCATAAAATGTAAAGCTGTGCAAGCTCGCAAATAGAATCAAAGATACATTAGCACCACCGTGAGAGTTTGGGATGCCACTAATTGAATGATACTGTTCCATAAAACAAATCCAGCGCAGGTCGCCTCCTTTAAGCTTGTAATCGCGGCATCTTTTGAGGAAGGTCAGCGTCTCGATGAGCTGTGACTTCTTGTCCCGTTGTCTGTTAAAAGCTCTAACAGATAGGTGAAAGCCCTCCCCATAAATCTAGAATGGGGCCAGGTCAGTTAGTCTCCTTGAGAGGAGGCTCGTAGAATAGAGGGAAGTAGAGGAGTTAACTTGGGGTGTTAGCTTGGGAAATACTTCCCTCGATATAACGGGTGGAGAAGCCGTTACCTTTTCAAGTGTGAGCTATCAAGCTGAGATTAATAAATACATGTTGCCTCAAGTCAACCGTCTCTGTCGTCATACAAGGCCACTACAACTGGAGTCAGAAGTGGTTCTAACTGCACGCTATGGATACAAGAAGGACAGTTCATGCGCACGAACCTGGGAAACTTGACGACGCTGCAGGGACAGGTCCGCCGGACACGGAGACAGAGTCTGAGGTGATGCCTGCGGTCCAGCAACCACCGCAGCCGCCGCCTCCATACTGGAGGAGATAACTCGGGGGGAGGGGCGGTTGCAGGAGAGCGCGGGGAAAACTGGCGGCAAACAGCTGTTCCCGCTACTGGGACCGCGTCGCAATTTGAAATTTCCGCCATTTTTTAAGGGAGCTCCGGGGGTGCCGGTAGCCAGGCGCACCACGTGGGGAGCGCGGACCAATCACCGCCCGCTATGTCATCTCCAGGCGACGGGCGCTGCCGGGACCAACCAGCGGCCTCCGCATCCAAGGTGCTGCGATTTACGGAGGGAGCCGCCATCGCACTGTACGATGGCGCTGCGTGGGAACATCGGCAGCCGGGGACGGAGCCTACATTTCAGCAGCGGTTGCCCATTTTCACAGCATTTGCAGCAGAGGGAGGCGACTGGGGAGCGTTTCAGCGACGGTTCCTCGCTCACCAGGAGATGTCGGGTTGGACCGACGACGAGGCGTTGCACGCTCTCCGAGCGACTCTGGACGACGATGCCCTCGCCACTCTCATGTCAACTCCAAGTCGAGCCGCTCTGCACTGCCAATGGCGCTTCGTCTGATGGCCACTGTCTACGGACCGCCGTCTGCCAGTCGCCATCACTTCCACAACCGGCGGAAGGGTGAGAAAGACACTCCTCTCGCGTACCGCACAGCTCTTCTGGCCCTCGCTAAGGCTGCTTTTCCGCGCATGGACTGCGAAGGCATCGATACCATGGTGACGGAAAAGCTCTTGGCGCTGGCACAAGAGTTGGGCATCGTGGTCCTGGCTGCAGACGAGGCCGACATATGCTCCTTGTGTGTCGCAACGAACATTCACGCGCATGAGGACCTCAAACTGAAGCCGCCTCTCATCACCAGCGCTTTGACTTCGGCGTCCAGCGGAACACCGGACGCTCAACCATCGGAGGAGGCCTTCGCCGCGGGTCGGGTGGCCGACCGCCCCAGCACCCGGCGCGCAAGCAGGAGCAGCCAAGGCCGGCGGCTGCCCTCGTGACCTGCTACAACTGTGGCCTCCAGGGTCACGTTGCTTCGGGGTGATGGGCTCCACGACAGCGCGCATCGGGACCTCGACCGGACGACGCCCAAGCTCCTAAGTCAACGCAGCATTCTCTGGTAAGTCGCGGCACCACACATGCTCGGCCCCCACACACATTACACACGACTCACCGCGCCACGCTGGACAATTCTCGTGATTCGGGTGTCGGTTCGTTGAGGGGAGGCGGGTTCGTACGGGCGCTCGGACCAGGTCAGTGGTCCGAGCTGGCCCATAGGGTGGTTGCTGCGTTGGTCGGGTCGTCCGTGGTTACGGGATCTATCGAGGGTGTTGAGGTTCGTGTACTAGTCGATTCAGTGGCGTCGGCAACGATCATCGACCTAATTTCTAATATTATCCCCGTTCAATGTCTGCCGTTACTGCCAGTTGACGTCAAGTGCTATGCGGCAAACGGAGGACCATTGGGCATCATTGGTCAAATCCGGGCAAGAATTTGCATTGGGGATATGAAACTGTCCGGTCCAATCTTGGTTTCATCCTCTCTCGCAGTCCCATGTTTATTGGGAACGGACTTTTTGGCTAAGATACCAATTAAAATCCTCATCGACCAAGGATGTATTGAGCTTCCTTCGGGCCGCTGCATGGCTTTTTGAGCTTCCCCTAACAGCCTACGTACGGCCTGCTCGACGGTACAAGTGGTGGTTACCCAGACGGTACACGTACCACCTGGGTCGCAAATGTTGGTGCCCCTACGGTTGCGGAAATCTCTTGGCCCGGGTATGACGGATCACGGTGTCCTGTTGGGTCCATCTAACGCCGCAGTGAAGGAATTGGATTTGACTGTGGCACAGGCGATAGTGCGGGGAGACAGGATCCCCTTCATCATGGTCCAAAATGCGGGATCGCGGACGACTGTGGTCCACCAGGGTTAGGGGTTAGGGTTAGGGGGTTATTATGGTTAGGGGGTTATTAGGGTTAGGGGGTTATTAGGGTTAGGGGGTTATTAGAGTTAGGGGGTTATTAGAGTTAGGGGGTTATTAGGGTTAGGGGGTTATTAGGGTTAGGGGGTTATTAGGGTTAGGGGGTTATTGGGTGTTAGGGGATTAGGGTGTTAGGGGATTAGGGTTTCAGGGTGTTAGGGGATTAGTGTTTTAGGGTGTTAGGGGATTAGGGTGTTAGGGAATTAGGGTTTTAGGGTGTTAGGGGATTAGGGTTTTAGGGTGTTAGGGGATTAGGGTGTTTGGGGATTAGGGTTTTAGGGTGTTAGGGGATTAGGGTTTTAGGGTGTTAGGGGATTAGGGTTTCAGGGTGTTAGGGGATTAGGGTTTTAGGGTGTTAGGGGATTAGGGTTTTAGGGTGTTAGGGGATTAGGGTTTTAGGGTGTTAAGGGATTAGGGTTTTAGGGTGTTAGGGGATTAGGGTGTTAGGGGATTAGGGTGTTAGGGGATTAGGGTTTTAGGGGATTAGGGTTTTAGGGTGTTAGGGGATTAGGGTTTAGGGTGTTAGGGGATTAGGGTTTTAGGGTGTTAGGGTTTTAGGGTGTTAGGGTTTTAGGGTGTTAGGGTTTTAGGGTGTTAGGGTTTTAGGCTGTTAGGGTTTTAGGGTGTTAGGGGATTAGGGTGTTAGGGGATTAGGGTTTTAGGGTGTTAGGGTTTTAGGGTGTTAGGGGAGTAGGGTTTTAGGGTGTTAGGGGATTAGGGTT